AAAAAAAAAAAAAAAAAAAAAATAAATGTTATTTGTGCATCTGCAAATTGTGAAGAAAATGGATTTCAGGTTTCCAGACTTTTTGTTCTGGTGTACCAGATTGCTATTCTAATATAGCTTATGGCTTTAAAGGACCCTAGCTGCTTGACTGTGGCCATATTTCTTAATCTCTATGCTTCAGTTTCCACATCTGTAACAATGCGGTATTACTAGTGCCTATTCATAGAATTTCTTTTTTTTTTTTGAGATAGAGTCTCCCTCTGTCACCAGGCTGGAGTGCAGTGGCGTGATCTCGGCTCACCACAACCTCCGCCTCCTGGGTTCAAGTGATTCTCCTGCCTCACCCTCCTGAGTTGCTGGGACTGCAGGCATGCGCCACTATGCCCAGCTAATCTGTGCATTTTTAGTAGAGGCAGGGTTTCACCATGTTGGCCAGGATGGTCTTGATCTCTTGACCTTGTGATCCACCCACTTCGACCTCTCAATGTGCTGATATTACAGTCGTGAGCCACCATACCTGGCCTTCGTTGAATTATTATAAGTGTTTAGTTAATATATGTGAAGCTCTTAAGATAGTGCCTAGCTCACAGTAAATTCTAAATAAACGTTAGATTGCATATTTATTATTTTAGCTTATCCATTTTACTTGTAAGGATGGTTGGGATCCTGACAATACATGCACACATTTGGAAAATTCCCAGTTGCGTATATGTTAGGGAAGTTCAGAAGTGTGTGTGGCCGGCTGCAGTGGCTCATGCCTGTAATCCCAGCATGTTGGGAGGCCAAGGTGGGCAGATCACGAGGTCGGGAGTTCAAGACCAGCCTGACCAACATGGTGAAACCCTGACTCTACTAAAAATTCAAAAATTAGGCGGATGTGGTAGTGGGCACCTGTAATCCCAGCTACTTGGGAGGCTGAGGCAGGAGAATTGCTTGAACCGGGGAGGTGGAGGTTGCAGTGAGCCAAGATCATGCCACTGCACTCCAGCCTGGCTGTCGGAGCAAGACTCTGTCTCAAAAGAAAAAGAAATATAGTGACCCAATAATCCTGTTAGCCTTAGCTCAATTAACCACATTCCACGTGTCCTCACAATGTTCATCCCAGTGAGAAACAAATACAACGGTGTGTTAAAGTGGTGTCGAGATATATATATAATTTTTTTCACCTGCAACTGTCTTTTTGTATAACTCGAGTGTCGATATATTTTTAAAGAGCTGATATCAGTATAACAGAAAATTCAGCATATTACACACCCCAGCTTTGCTCACTAATGTGAAGATATGCCCAGGCTTTCATAGCTAAGACGTTAGAGGAAACACCACAAGGGACCCAGCTGGGAGCTCTGTTGGAAGTTAAAAAACAATCATTCAACTTTGCAAAACATCTGATGCTCAGCCATCTGTCTTTGGCAGTACAGGGGCTTAAGGTCTTGTTTGGTTCCTTCTGACACCTCGGAAGGCGAAGTTACAGAGGAGAAGCAACAAGTTGTAGCAAGTTAACTTAAGTCTCCGACGCTGGAGGCACCTGCATTTCTAGGTACTTCAATTCAGGCCAAACTGTTGTCAGCTCTAGTTTAGGAGGGACCGCCAGCTCGGGATTCCTATTGGAGCCACCTATGTGTCTACCCATCTTAAGAGAACACTTGGGCGGGCCGGGACGTGCTCGGAGTAGGTGACTTGAACACCGGACAGTTTCGCTTCCAGAAGCTGACAAAACGCTCCTGCTCCGGAGTTACTTGTTAAAGCGTTGGGATAGGCGGGCACTCTTCGCCCATCGGGGAATTCCCACTGTGGGAAGGAGGCTCAGAACCGGTACAGAGCGCTGTCATCGCCAGAGAGCTGCGAGTCCCTGCCTTCTCTCCAGGCTCTCCAAGGCATTCCGAGGCTCCACCCCTGGCAACGCCACGATGACGTCTGCGCGTCGGAGGCCGCCATAGGTGCGACTCGGGGCCCAGGAGGACGTGTGGCGCGTGGACTGCATCAGGTCCAGCTCAGTGGGACCCTAGCAGGCGCTTCGGGGCAAGGTTCTATGCATCTGTTTTCTCCTTCTGCTTATTTTCCCCCTCCGGAAAGAATGGGACATGCCTGTGTCTAGAAAACAAGAAGATGCGCGCCAGCAAGCCTAAGTTAACCACAGCGCGGAAGTTATGCCCAAGGCAAGAAGGTGCCGGGCACCTTTAAGCTGTTTGTAAGCTCACGTGACTCACCAAGTGCGGGCCCCAGTGGTCACGTGACGGCGCGCGCGCCCTCGCGCAGGGAGAGCGGGCGGTGCGCGCGTCTTCGCCGCTGCCTCCTGCCCACCCCCTCGACGGGAGGGTGAGGCGCGGCGCAGGCGGCCGGGGTCCTGTGCGCGTGCGCAGCGAACAGCTGTCACCTAGTGCGGAACAAGTCTTCCGAATTTCCCAAATCTCCCTGGGCCGGAGGCCAGTGTCTTCTTCTCATCCTCCTCCTCCGGGTCCTGCTCTCCTCCCTACCCGCGCGCCAGGTAACCGCTTTTCCGGAGTCCGGGGGCCGTGGCGGGGGGAGGGGCCGAGGAGGTCTTCCCGGCACTGCCCCCCTCCGCGTGGGGCACCGGGGTGCGGGCGTCCCGGCGAGCAGCGACGCCGGGGCAGAGACGGTCCGTCCGTGACTGCTGCGACTGTCACCCTGGGGAGGGAGCGGCCGGCCGCGGCCGCAGGGGAGGGATGCGGGGGCTGGTGACAGCCCGCTCCGGCCCTTAAGGATGTTCGGTGCCCGAGCTCGCCGTTCTCCCGGGATCCGGAGTCGGGGTCGTCTTCTTGGGGCACAGGAGCGCGCGGGCGTTCAGGAGATGCGGACCTCTTTCCGCCCCTGGTCGGTCTGTGGTTGACTCCAGGAAGGTCGGGCCTGGTGCACCCCTCGGGGCCCTCCCTTCCCCAGGAGTGTCATGACCCGCGTGGTGAGGGTGGGAGCTTGTCTCCAGACCACCCGTCGCAGCAGGCAGCCATCCCGTCATTCGGGGTCGTCCTCAACCCTCGCGGCTGTCCTTTTGGTGTTTCTTTCCCCCGGTATGGGGCATTTCTTCCTGCAGTGCCTGGAGGAACCATGATGCGGTGTAGACAGCGGGTGCTTAATAAATGCGAATTGGATCAGAGCGCGTGGACTGCCAGGCACGGAACGTGGCGTGGGGTGGGGACGTGGAGGAGGGAGCCAGGCAGGCCGGGACTGCAGGCTGGAGCTTGGGGTTTTCCTCCGTGCTTGGCCAGAAAAGCCAGCAGGCGGGATTCGGATGCTTTCCGCGTGGACTCGATGCTCGGCTCCCCTTGCTGCGCGGTGCAAGCCTGCGCTGGTTCGCTCTGATTGTGGGCGATACGGAGAGGGGTTTTGTCAGGTTCCTTCTTCCGGAAGAGAGAGGGTAAACTTTTTTTTTGCACTTAATAAACTAACCCCGAGAGGTGATTTATCATAAGCACGGTTCGGAAGTGTAGGTTAGAAAAGCAGCGTCACCTTTATCCCGGTGAAAGTTACTGGTAGGTTCCGGCCACTTAGATTCACACTAAACTCTGCCCTATTTTCACCCATTTTAGTTTGCGGTATTGAAAAAAATGTTTAAATTCCGGGCAACTTGGCTTTACTGTTTCCTATGGCAACGGTGACTAATATTCTTATTTCGAAGAGTTGTGGTTGAAAACTAGTGGTTTTAATTTTTAAAGGTCCGTTTTTACTGGGTAGCAGTCTGTTCTCCTTTGCGATTATCGTTTGTTTTCTTACCTTGCCGGCCTCGGCGCAGCCCCCCTCATACTTTGTTTTGAAACGGATTACACAGCTGTTTCGGATTTTTTAGGTCCTTTTTTCCCCAATTTCAGTGTAATGAAAAGTTTGCAAATAAACTTTACCGTAACCCAAAAAACTTGGCAATACAATACAGTTTACATCAAAGACTTGTTTTATTGACAGACTTTAATTATTTTATTAACAGACTTTAACAGTCAGTTGCTTTTATAAAGTTAAAAATCAGGCCGGGCACCGTGGCTCACACCTGTGATCCCACTTTGGGAGGCTGAGGCGGGTGGACCACCTGAGGTCAAGAGTTCAAGACCAGACTGGCCAACATGGGGAAACCCCGTCTCTATTAAAAATACAAAAATTAGCTGGGCATGGTGGCGGGCGCCTGTAATGCTCAGCTGCTCAGGAGGCTGAGGCAGAAGAATCTCTTGAACCCAGGAGGTGGAGGTTGCAGTGAGCCGAGATGGGCCACTGTACTCCAATCTGGGTGACAGAGTGAAACTCCCAAAAAAAAAAAAAAATTAAAAAAATAGTAAAAATTAAAAATAAATAAAAAATAGGTTTTGGTAAATAAATGAATAGGCTTGTGCAGCTATTACCACAGTGTATTTTTGAATACTCCCCTTCTATCCTTAGGCAACCACTAATCTGCCATCTCAACAGATTTGGCTATTGTGGAAATTTTTTTTTTGAGACAGAGTCTTGCTCTGTCGCCAGGCTGGAGTGTAGTGAGGCGATCTCGGCCCACCGCAACCTCTGCCTCTTGGATTGAAGTGATTCTCTGGCCTCAGCCTCCGGAGTAGTTGGGATTACAGGCGCACACCACCATGCCCAGCTAATTTTTGTATTTTAGTAGAGACAGGGTTTTACCAGATTGGTCAGAATGGTCTCCATCTGCTGACCTTGTGATCGACCCGACTTGGCCTCCCAAAGTGCTGGGATGAGCCACCGCGGCCAGCTTATTTTGAAAATTTTAGGCGGGGCATGGTGGTTTATGCCTGTAATCCAAGAATTTTGGAGGCAAAGGCGGGCGGATCACCTGAGGTGGGGAGTTCAAGACCAGCCTGATCAACATGGTGAAACCCCATCTTTTTAAAAAAAAAGAAAGGAAAAAGAAAATTTTATATACATGGAGTCATACACTATGTGGTCTTTTGTGAGTGACTTCTTTTGCTTGGCATATTTTTTAGGGTTCATCATGTTGCAGCCTACCAGTACTTAATTCCATTTATTTACTTATTTATTTATTTTAGACGGACTTTGACTCTGTCACCCAGGCTGGAGTGCAGTGGCGCGATCTTGGCTCACTGCAACCTCCACTTCCTGGGTTCAAGCGATTCTCCTGACTCATCCTCCTGAGGAGCTGGGGTTACAGGTGCGTGCCATCACGCCTAGCTAATTTTTGTATTTTCAATAGACATGGGGTTTCACTGTGCTGATCACACTGGTCTCAAACTCCTGACCTCGTGATCCGCCTGCCTTTGCTTCCCAAAGTGCTGGGATTACAGACGTGAGCCAGTTCGCCCAGCCACTTCATTCCTTTTAATGGCTAATATTCTATTATGGGCACATCACATTTTGTTTATTCATTAGTTGATATAATTTGTGTTATTTCTGCTTTTGGTTGAGTAATGCAGCTATGAATATTTGTGAACTAGTTTTCCTGTGGACATGTGTTTTCTTTACTCTTGGGTATATATATATATATAATGTAATTTCTGGGTTAATGTAATTTTCTGTTGAATGACTGCATGCATAAGGAGGGATAGCTGGTTTTGGGTGATACTCTCTGAAGCCTTGAAGGGGCCTGTTGGCCTTTTCATGTTCCACTGCCAAGTTCAGCTCTCTAAAGTGGGGCTTTATCCTATGGCTAGTGCTGTATTTTCCTCTCCTTTTTTTTTTTTTTTTTTTAAAGACAGAGTCTCGCTCTGTTGCCTAGGCTGTAGTGCAATGGCATGAATTCAGCTCACTGCAACCTCCACCCCTTGGGTGCAAGCAATTCTCCCACCTCAGCCTACCCAGTAGCTGGGATTACAGACACCTGCCATCATGCCTGGCTAATTTTTATATTTTTGTGGAGATGGGGTTTCAACATGTTAACCAGGCTGTTCTCAAATGCCTCACTTCAGGTGATCCACCCACCTCAGCCTTCCAGAGTGCTGGGGTTACAGGCATGAACCACTGTGCCCAGCCTCTGGATGTCATTATTAAGATCATCTGTTCCTTTTTTATTTTTGGAGACAAAGTCTAACTCTGATGCCCAGTCTGGAGTGCAGCAGTGGCACAGTCTTGGCTCACTGCAACCTCTCTGTCGCCTGTGATCAGGAGCCAGAGCACAGGAGGCTAATCATGCCTGGCTAATATTTGTGGTGTTGCCATGTTGCCCAGGATGGTCTCAAACTCCTGGGCTCCAGCAGTCCTCCTGCCTCAGTCTCCTAAAGTGCTAGGATTATAGGCGTGAGCCACTGAGCCCAGCCTGATCATACCTTTCTGATAGCATAGTCTTTATACTGCTCGTGGTTATTATCTTGATATTTGCTTATTTGCTATATATTTATTAGGGATATAGTGATAAGATAGGTACATTCTATGCTTTGACTAAGCTCAATGTCTACTGAAAAATTTATGTTCCCTTTTGTTAAATGTTTTTATGTATATATATATAAATTTTTTGTTTCGATAATGGAGTTTTGCTCTTTCACTTAGGCTGGAGTGCAGTGGTGTGATCTTGGGTCATTGCAACCTACTACGCCTTCTGGATTCAAGCGATTCTACTGCCTCAGTCTCCCAAGTAGCTGAGATTGCAGGTGCCCAATACCATGCCTGGCTAATTTTTGCATTTTTTAGTAGAGATGGAGTTTCACTATGTTGGCCAGGCTAATCTCAAACTCCTGACCTTGTGATCCGCCTGCCTCGGCCTCCCAAAGTGCTGAGTTTACAGGCATGAGCCACTGTGCCCGGATCAAATATTATTTAATGCTTCTCCCCAACCTCTTGTTTTCTTTTTTTTCTCTTGGTGCCGTCACTCAGATTTTTTTTTTTTTTTTTTTTTAATTAAAATAATTTCTTTTTGTAGAGATGGAGTCTCAGTGTGTTTCCCTGGCTAATCTCAAACTTCTGGGCTCAAGTGATCCCCTTGCCTTGGCCTCCCAAAGTTCTGGGATGACAGGTGTGAGCCACTGTACCTGGCCCACAAGCTCTAATTCTGATATGAATTTGTTAGGAGGTGTATCATAATTAAAGTTGTTGTATCTTTTTTATCCCTACAAATCTAGACCATTTTGTGGAGCCTAAGATATAAATTAAAAATATTAGGTCATTGTTTTTTTTTTTAACTCCCCTAGTCCCCAAAGAGTCTCTGCTTCCTCATCCTCCCTACCCTTGCGGGAGTTACAGTCTTCTAAATCTACACTTGCTGGGCCTAATCCTTTCCCCATATAAGCAATCAGAATTGTTTCGTTCTTTCTTTCTTTTTTTTTTTTTTTTNGGGGATTTTAAATTCATCTGACTTTCTCCTCAAAACAGTTTGGTGATGTGCATGGTACAAGTTAGCACATATCAGAATTGTGACTGTAACCTTTCCCTTGTTTGTTGGTAAGCATGAATAGCCTTTTTAAAAAAAATTATATTTAGATGAATTAAATTTTTTCAGTCTTTTACTGCTTTTCTCTTTCATATATTGTTTATTTTATTTATTTATTTTTTTTGAGACGGAGTTTCGCTCTTGTTACCCAGGCTGGA